AGCTAGGTTGTCACTGAGGTCTCTTCAAACTCTGAAATGTGTGGTTTTATAAACAATTCCTTGAAATGTATACAACATTAGTAGTCCCACTTCAAAGAAAAGTAAACTGAGGGTCAGAGAAGTAAAGCAAGTTGACCATGGTCATTCAGAGAACAAGTACGACTCAGAATCTGAACACAGGTCTCCTGTTTCCAAATCTAGTATACCTTCTACTATACCACAGACTCTAGATGAAATATAACTGAGGAAGATGGAAGACATGAAGAATTATTTCAGATTAAATTGCTTTGCTCCTCTCACCACCATTATGAATTTTAGGAGAACTCAATGAAAGTTACTATGTAGTTTAGAGAGATGGGGTCTAGAAGCCTAACATGAGAACTTGCTGACCCCACCTGAGGGGCCAGAAGAATGAAGGGGGTCAAAGGCTAGGCTGGAAGAATTTGAGAGCTTTCACTGAGCAGGGCTGGAGAACAGAACTTCTCCCAAGTGTGAAAAGCAATTTGTGTATTCTCCTCAATAGCTCTGGGAAGTCTGTCTAGATATATCCTGCCCACCTGAATCTGGAGAACTGGTAACACATGTCGGCTTGGAAAGTGGTGACAATAGGAAACACACCAGGGCAATCCCAGCTTGTCCAGATGTTAGCCCATTCACCAGAAACAATGTCACTCTCTCCCCTCATGAGCACTATCTGGTACAAACATGTGCAAAAGAACAAACTTCCTTCCTGAACACATAAACTAACCTGCAAGTAAATGAGCTTCTATAACAATCCAGTGCACAGGAAAATTTACAATGAAAAGGCAACAGAAAGGTCCCATCATTTTCCTTTCTTACTGAGACAAGATAGGAGTAGTATGATTGAAAGCAGGGGAGACATGACAGAAAAAAACACAAACATAAAAATACATAATTAGAGTGAGAAGCAGGGACCAAAGGGGCCAGGATGTTGGTTTGAATAAGAAAATTGATTTTTTAAAATTAGCACTATAGATGTGTTTTACTTTTAAAAGTAGGTATATGACTGAATGATGGTATAAAAATATAATTCCTACAAATAGAGTCACATTTCAACCTGCTCTTGAGAGGCTGCATGGAACAGCCCCTGGCTTGGAGTTAAGAAACCAAGATTTTAGATCCAATTGTATTCATAATGATCTACATGCCCTTAGACAAATAATCTCATGTCTCTAGGTATCAGTGCATAAAAATAAGGTTTTTGGACTATACGGTTCTTAAGGTCCTTTCCTGCTCTAACATTTTAAATATCTAGTAATTGTTTTGAATGCAGGAAGTGGAGCCCAAACAGACTAAAATGTAATTGGGAAATATTTAACAAAATAAATACAATAGAACACAGATGCTAATATGTAGTTTTCTTAGTCAATCTGTAACCTACAGGGACCCTTACATACACACTAGTGGCCTGTTTCTATATGAGTTTGAAAACATTGCACTAAGGACTCCAGAGAAGTTCTATAGCCCCATCCAAGATAGCCTTATACTTTGCCTTTTGGGAGCTAATGCAATTGGACTCTCTCCTAGAGAGAAATGCTTCTCCTTCAAGAAACTACTTGAAGTTCCAGTTCTGTGGCTCTCACCTTGCCTTGCCTCCATGCTTGGGTGCCTATATGCATCTTAAGCAGCCACAGTTAGGGAGGAAAGCCCAGAGCTGATACGCATCTGTAGAGGAGTGCTGCCATGCCAGAAACCCCTTTGGCCCCCTGCTTGGGTGGGTATGGGGGTTTAGAGAAGAATGAGAACCAAGTCAGTTGGTAAAGCACTTTCCTGATAGCATGGAAAATACAACACATATATCCAACAGAACCCCCCAAAAGAGGACTATTAAACTGAGGGGGGAGGAGAATGCAAAAAAAAACTCCTAAAAAAAAATAAACCTGAACACAGCAAGACAAGCTACACTCTACTCTAGGAGTGGGGAAGAAAAGGTGGACAAATGACATAGATGTATACATGTGGTGACAACACTGTATGGTGGGAAGAACCCAGGCTAGTTATGTGGGCTAGAACAAAACACTTAGACTCTTGAGTCCACAATTCCCTCATCTGTAAAATAAAGGGGCTGGACTAGATGACCCCTTCCAGATCCCTTTCAGCTCCTTTAGGTATTTCTTTGGATACTCTGTCTGGACAAACCTATTTGCTCTTCAGGTATTCATAGTATACTTCATAAAGTAACAGGTCCTATTACTTATTTTGGTTAGTTAGAAAAGGTCTCTGACAGCAAGAGAAAAAGAAAAGATAAAACTTGCTGATGTTTCTTTTTGGTTGTTTTCTGGGGAAGGGGAGAAAGACAGACTGTAAAGGTATCAAAGGGGGAGGGCAGAAGAATTACAAAGTGAGTGGAAAGAGTGCTTACAGACTGTAGAGAAAGCCCCTGAGTTCAAATCCCACTTCAGACTCTAAAATGTGACTAGAGTACATCACTTAATGTCTTTGGGCCTTCAAATTCTCATCTTTCAGGTGAGAGGGCTGGACTAGAGGGCTTATGAAATCCTTTCCAGTTCCAATTCTATAATCCTAAATCAGCCTGCTCCAGAAAACAAGTGGAGAGGGCTCTACCTAGGAGAGGAATATCTCATTCAGGAATCCTTTTCACCATACAGTATTTTTTTTTTAAAGAAGGGTGAATGTTTTTTTGGGTGAGGAGATTAGGCAAAGGGTATCCAAGTCCAATGGACTGTCCAATTTTGGATGGAAACAAAATAAGAACATGTTTAAATATAGCAATCTCTTCAATGGAGCTGACCACAGCTTAATCGATTATAGGTAAGTCCTGAAAAGGGAAGTTAAAAGAAATCCTTGTGATATATTGCAGTATTGAGATTAAGGAAGTTTTGATGTAGTATAGAGATTAAGAAGATTAAGTTAAGGAAATCCTTGAGATATTATTCTAGTATTCTCTACCTCAGACTGGCCTGTACGTGATATATACATGCACTCTACAAACCCTGAGACAGAATTTATAGAGTGCTTCAGGAAGAGAGACACTGCAGGCCGTAGTAGAGCCACTGAGGATTTTGCTGCTGGACAGCATGGTTACCAGATGTGAAGAACCATTTTTCAACAGTGTAACAAAAGACCAACAAAAATGAAAATACCTCAATTACTCCTTTGCTATTTGATCATTCTACTATATATAAATATTAATCTCCACAAAATAGCAGATCCTATGGAATATTTTTAAGTATAGTCATTCCAAAGCAATAAAATTTTTAAAAGGCTGAAAGAAGACAGAAGACATTACAAGATGTGACAATTTGTAAGGTGCAGCAGCCTCCTGCAAAATTAGTCATGTCTTTCTCTCCGACCTCCACACAAGATAATGTTACTTTCTATGCCATCTCCACAGTCTCCAGTAACTTAGAAAATTTCCAGTATTCACTTTTTACACCCCAGGAGAGATTTTCTCCTTGCGTTTCCAATGTTCAGTGGCCTTAAACAATGTTATGGTTATGATTTTTTTAAAACCATAAAAGTAATGAGATGGATTCTTTTATAGTCACACCTTATATATACATTATAACTAACATGTTCCTTAACAGGTACATGACAAAAAAAAATTCTACATAAAAATCACTGGTAGAATTTATTACAAGACTGAGAAAGCAAAAGGGAAGTTTTAGGTTTTGGCTGAGACTATAACTGCAAACATTTCTGTATTTATCATACACGTCCAAGCTCTTCTTTGTTCAGAGAAATTAATTCCAAACCGGACATCCTTAGAGGTGTCTCGAATTATCTCCAGAGGCTTTGTAACAGTTTCTACAACATGCCTATAAAAATTAATTTTAAAGTACATATGCCATGTAGAATGTTTTGGATGAGGCAACATGACACTTTCTTAGAAAGTAAAAAAGGAAAAAAAAATCACAAAAGTTTGGAAATTACTTGTTCAAAAAATCTTTGTCTAATACGATATTTTTATATTTAAGACCTTCCACAGAGGTAGTAGATGATGATGGAAATATTGAAGATACCATTTCTTGCAAAAATTCTGTATTACCAATCCTTTGTTTACTTACAGTGAATAAGATTGATACAAGAATCTAAGGTCAGCACATAGATTGTTCTCTTCCACGGAGACAACACAAAAGCTGAGGTTCTTAACCAAGATCCAAGAACTTGGATTATTTTTTTTAAATGAAAGATTTCAATATAATTGGTTTCCTTTGTAATCCTATGTATTTTATTTTATGCATTTAAAAATATTTTAAGAAGAGCGTATACGGGCTTTGGACTGCCAAAGGTGTTCAAAACACAAATAAGGTTAAGAACCCCATATCTAGTGGTTATATAAAACATGGGCCAGCTGCTCAGGGTAAGCTGAATGTAATTTTTTAGTTTCTTCCCCCACCTCTAGCCTTAAATTGCTATTCTGAAGTCCACAGATTACCTTGTGGTTATAGATTATACATCACTGCACTGCAATAGACACTCTACACACTCTTGGTCATCACTAAGTTAATAGCTAAGATACTCTAGACAACAGGTTGCATCAGTGCTGGCTTGGAACCACTATATTTTATTACCTTTTCTAAATTTCCAATGAAATCTGTTTCCCAAATAGGCCATTTCCTCAGGCCTCAGACACATACCCTTACCAACTCACATACTTCAGTTGATTTGTTATTTGAACACTTAAAGAGACAAGAATAATATATTCACAGAGAGACATAACTGATAGAAACAGGCATGCTGTGGTTAAAAAACTATTATTGCCCAGTTCTTCAAATTTTGATGTTATTTTTTTCAACCCACATATCTTTGTTTTTTAATCTGGCTTATTTTACAATGAACCCTAGTATTGAGTTAGGCAACTCACAGCTTTAAAAACCAAACCAACATCAATCCCTAAAACTGACCCTCTCAACTCTTAAAAAAAAAAAAGGCTCCATTTTAATTGAAACTTTTGCTTCTCATACCAAATCCAGCTCATTACAAACTCAAAGTTAGAAAAGAAAAGTCAGTCTTACCTTATTTGTAGCAGTAGCACTGGATCCAGGGACTACAGGTACATTTGTCACTTGTACAGAAAGATAATTATTATCTATAAGAGGCCAGGCACCTTCCACCTTGCACGTTTGAAAGTGATCATTAAAAGTTCTAAGGTGAGGATCTCCAAACAAGCCACAAAAAAGATAAGTGGGAGGACTCTGGTCCCCTCCCTGATGTTCTCTAGTTTCTGAATGGCTATGATAGTTACAAGGGTCATGGGTAACTTCGGGGTTGGTAGAGGATGTGGGTCCATCCTTGGAACAGTTTCTCTGGCTCATGAGGTCATTGATTCCCAGCACAGCTGAATGGTAGACCAGGTTTCCACGACAGGCTTTGGAAGTACGCTGGGTACAGCCAGCATAAGCACGTAGGGCCTTGCAGAACTCTGAATCAAAGCCATCGATGGCAGAGTTCAGGTGAGAAGTCAGTGACACAAAGTCTGTGGTACATTTCTGGATTCGACACTGGGTTGGCTGTTGGCAATAACCTAAAGGAAGTAAGATAACAAACTGCTTAAAAGGTGAGACATTTTAAGAGGTTATATTACTTCCTGAATGAACTATATAAGAAAACTATGATTTTCCTTCAGGGACTATTAGTTATGCCTCCTTGATCAGGAAGAAAAAATAAAGGAAGGGAGGGGGCTTCAGCAATAATTTAAAAGAGCCTAAAAGAATAGATACAAATATGGTTCTTTGCCTCTCTTAAACCGAACTACCCTGAGAAAAACACTAGTTGTCAGACAAACTTTTTACTTGAACCAATTATGTATAATAATGTTTAGATTACCCTTAGAGAGAAGCTATGATAGAATGGTAAATGAAGGTATTTATTCAAATTGTTATTTTTTTCAAGTACACTTAAAATACTCAGTTACTATAACGGTAAATTCTATTCTAAAGTCTATTCTCTATTAGAATTCTACCGCATTATTAAAAAAAAAATTATTAGCTTTAGAAAGTAAAGCAAAACTACCTGAGGGATACTGTGAAAAATAGAAGCATCTATCATTACCCAAAGGAAAAAATATATATTTCTAAACTACAGAATATCTATTTAAAAGTTCAAAATATGGGTTTGAACTCATACTATGCATCTACACGGCCTCTATACCAAGAAAATGAAAGTACTAAGAGTCTTAAAAAAAAAAAAAAAGACTTTCTATCAGCCAACCGTTCAGACACACTCCACTTTAATCACAACTTATAATCACCAGCCTTCTAGAAAGTTTAACTACCTATAAACAAGTGTATTGCCAAAAATTTTAATTTTTAAAATTTTCTCTTATTCTCTCAGGGCCATGAGATCAAATGCTCTGGACCAAACATTTGCACAGGATTTATTACTTCATGGATGGCCAACGACAAAGGAAAAGACAGGTATTGAGATATTCTGTATAACAGAGGCAGATGGCTATGACTGACTATGCTTTTACAATTCTGAACCAAAAGAACAAAAGAACGTAAAATGTTGATTTCTACATGTGACTATAGTTACTGCCTTTTTTCTTAAGGAGAAATAACGCATAACATATGCCATAAAACACAAAATAATAACTGCCAAAACATCTTTATAGTTTGTCCCTGAATTATGAAAGCACACATAATGAGAACAAAATCAGTATTTATCCTAATATAAATACTGGAATATAGAAGTGGACCTACAAGAATACAGATCAAGCCATGGGTACCTCTGGGTATTAAAAATAAAACAATTATTTAAATAAATCCCAATTCAACCTTACATTAGAACATTGACTCTAAATTTGAACCCAAAAGAACTTTATCATGTTTTAGTGGGAATTTTTTAAAGTCCATAATAAACCATTGGTGATATCATTTTTGTTAGGAAATTTAGAAAATATATAAAGAAACATCATATTCCCCCATTTACCTTTTAAATTAAAAAAAAAAAAAAAGGAAACAAGAAATCCTAGGCTTTGATGTTAATTTTAACTGATTCAAAACCACAGGAGTGAATATTGCACATTGGACAAATGAAAACAATTACTGAACCATAACTATAATCCTAAATTTGCATTTTCTTTTAAGGCATCCATCACAAAAACAGCTGATGGCTTTGGGTCCTATTTTCTAAGAGTTCAAAGTTTAGAGTAGTTAAAGTAGGTACTTTTTTTAGAGTAGTTAAAGTAGGTGCTTTTTTAAGCCATTCTCTTCAAAAGAAACTTGATCATTCTCAAAGCATTATACTACAAAAAAATGAGTTAAGGCTATTTTACAGATAAGAAAAAAAAAAGATAAAGTTCAGAAGGCTTAGTTTTGTTAAACATAAACAGTAATGGTTGACTCCTAACACTTAACTATTGATTCCCAGTCCTCATTGGATCATGGATCATAGATTTAGAGCTGAAAAAGTCCTTACAGGTCATAGAATCCAAGCCCCTAATTTTATAGATGGTGCCACCAAAGTTAACAGGTAAAATAAGTAAGTGCCAAGATTCAAACTCAAGTCTTCTGACATTAAATTGAGTGCTCTTTCTGCCTTCTACCTTCCATTGAAGGCTACATTTTCTCTATTAGGTATTATCATTTATGCATTAGCAGTGGCCATGGTAGTAAAGACTCAAGCAACTGATTCATAGCATAGCAGGAAGTAAAGAAATGAAAATATGGTCTTAAGATAACTTGGTTAACATCCAGCTTTTATACTTGTGTGATAGCACAAGAACTTTCCGCTAAACTTACTGTGCCTATTTGTTCTTTTTATGGTCTATAAAATTCAACCAAGCATACATCTACTTGTAATTATTTCAAATGGTCATAAACTATCAAAAGTAGTGGTGTGGAAATGCAAATGCACTAACTGTCCAAACAGAAAAGGGAGAAGAATTAAATTTCTAACCCCTTTGCTTTCTCTTTTTCTCCCACTCCCTTCCTTTAGCTGGTAGGTGGATGTTGATCCCTTCATGAAATCTTACATAAAACAGAAACCACATATTCCAGGGATAAGGAACTAAATAGTGTTGGACTGCTGTTTGGTCTTTTAGTATGGAATGGTAGAGGAAGGAGGGGGGAAATACAGGCCCAGGTTCATCAATCTCAACTCCTCACCCCAAGTTTCTTTATTATAACTTATTTGCAGCATTCCCCCAGAAATATCTAGGCTTCATGAATTTATAATGGCAATGCACACTCTGCCTGTTATAAGTGGTAAAGTAAACCTCCTGTCAAAATGCCAAGACAAGGCCAAATAGAAACAGTCTCAAAGATCTAGCAAAGGAAAGCCAAGAAGTACATGAGGAAGCAAGCTGCTCCATATTTGATCCACAATCAGGAAATGCAGAGCTTGGTTAAAAAATATGTGAATAATGCACTCTACGCTTTCCCAAGGGAGTAAATTAAAAATTTACAGGTAAAGGTTTCACTGTTTTGCTCATCAAGTTATTTGTTATTCATGTGAAGGAAGATTAGCTGCTCTATTTTTGTTTCAGTTAATGGAGAAGAATGTGCTAATGGATGTGTGTTTACAAAAGATCCTATTGCCAGGGATTTCAACACAAAACTCACAAATAAATGAGCCAAATTTACTCATACAATTTTGAAATGTGATGAATTTTTTGACAATATGAGATATGTGCAAGCTATACTAAAAAGAATGAATCTTTAAGCCACATGAGTGCTGAGGCAAATCCCATGATTACAGTGATAAAACATATGGTCGCCCATCTGCAAAAAGCACCTGACTAGGATCCCCAAAATGAAAATCATTCTTTGCATTTTCAGAAAGTATTGCTCTTATTAGAGGGCTCACACTAAAGAAAGAAGGCTAGACAATCCTTTTCCAGAACATAAATTGCTTGGGCCAGATGGAAACAAATGTTCAAAGAAATCTCTCAACTACTGCCTTAATAAAGTGAGGCTGTATAAAAAATAAGCTTTAAAAAAATCATTAAGTTTCAAGTTCCAAATTTTTAAACAAAGAAGCCTTAATTTTCCAAGAAGAGGTTTTTGTTGTTTTTTGCAGCCTACCCAAGAGATTAATAACTTCAAGGACCAAATTCCATACTTCCAAAAGGGTTTCCATCATTATCAAGGCATGAAGTACCAGAGTAGCCAAGGCTAAAACAGGCCTAGCTTAACATTTACAACAAAAACAACATTAAATACCACTGGAAGTTTTGGTATATCAGAGGGCTTGCTGGACTTGTAGTCAGAAGACTAAGCATAAATCCCACCTCTGACACTATGTAACTATGGGCAAGTTACTTAATTTCTGAGCCTCAATTCCCTCATCCCTCTGAGCCTCACTCATGATGGAGGGAAAGAAGGGTAGAGGGTAAAATACCTACAGTGTTTATCTCACACAGTTATTGTGAGGCTCAAATGAGAAGATATATGGCAAACTTTAAAATGTTATATATGTTAGTTATCACTACAATTATTAGCATGACACTGTGTTTTATATTTTCTAGTTGCAGATACCTAGTACTTTACACATCAATCCACACAATACAAAACATTTGATTATTAAAATTGCCTTTTTGTTAAAACACTCATTTGGTCCAATTTTATTTTCTTTGAGCCCAAGTAGAAAGTGATGCAAGCACTGAGATGACTCCTCTCACCTTTTCAAAGATCCTCTAATCATTTTAAAACAATGTACCTTTTAAATATTGTCAAAGAATATTCCTGGATATATAGCATACAATTAGCTATTTATTTTTCAAAGGAAATAAAATTTCATTTAAAAATTTAATTCTGAAACCTGACACATACTTCTTAAGGTCTGCCCTCTATCTTCCCCTCATATCAACAGTTACAATAGGAAACAAGATAAAATTGGTTGTACTGCTTCGCCAAGAAGCAAAGTGTTTTCTTCTGGTTTTTTTTCCCCTCACTACTTAAAGACATTCCAGATTTTAAAGTGGCTGGTGCAACCTAGTAAATAAATGACAATTACAACAGACATCTCAGTCGCGTGAAAAGCACAGGACTCACATACTTTGCTGATATAAGCACTGGTGATTGGTGTTCATCTAAAAGTAAAAGGTGTTCATCCTGAAGTAATAGGGTAAAACTTCCAGTTTCAGAGAATCCCTTTTCAGTTTTCAATACATTTTTCCCCCTAAGTCAATGCCTTACAAAGAAACCTGGTACTCTTTTTAAGGGGAATTAATCAATAGATTTTTAACACATCAACCCCCAATCTAACCAATCTAAGATTGATTTCCTTCTCGTGCTGCCCCAAATCAAAGTACCTACAGTGCTGTTTTCATTAGGGAAGAATAATACGGACTATACAACGGTTGGCAAATATTAACCTCTCTCACACCCTATCTACAGTGCCAGAAAATGTTTCTGGCCACAAGTTTTTAGGGAGAGAATTGAAAAATGCTTTAAACCACGTTTTTCAAATACGGAGTCGGTTAAAAGTATTTTAGTTACGGTGCGATTAAGCTACATACTGGTTTCCACATTCCAGTTAAAATGCACGCAACCCCCCAACTCCAGAGAAACAGCCCAAGGCTCCTTCTCTCCAGCATGGAGGAGGCAGCAGCGGAAACTCGATCTGATCCCGGACTTTTAGTAAATACGATCGCAGAGTAATAATGCATCCGGAGCATTTGCATAAAGCTCAAAACCAACACTCCTCTTCCACTTCCCTGCAGCTCCCTCAGGCTCTCACCCAGGGGGGACCTCTCAGAAGTCTGAGCAAAGTGGAAGGGAAGGCTCGTGAGAAGGGGCCATCTTACACGCATCTCTCAGGCTTGCCAAATGTTTTTAAGTTGTCTCAGTTGCTCCAACTACAAGGTTTTGCTAAGCCAGCCAGGTGTCCTGAAGCCACACACACACACACACACACACACAACACATACACACACTCGCGCGCGCGCGTTTGCTCTGCAATCTCTAGGGGTTTCAGCCAGAAACAAAGAAATCGAATCTTTTCCGTGGGCTCCCCACCACCACCACCACGCCGTGGCCAACTTCTCTCGGGGGAGCATCTCCAAGTACAGTAAAAGTGAGTGCGCCTCTCCAACCTTCCCCCTCCACCCATCCCCGCGCCCGTCACTGGAGCCCGGTGTGGGGTGTGGGTGCGCGTGCGTGGGCGCTGGGGCATGTGTGGACGCGCCCCCCCACACCCCCCCGGGGCAGGGGCCGGTCGGTACCTGCGGGCAGCCCCCCGAGGCCGAGCAGGAGCAGCAGGGCGGCCAGAGGAGGCGAGCGCCAGCGGCGACGGAGGCGGCGCCGGCGCGGCTCAGCCCCGGCGGCGGCGCAGGAAGGGGCAGCTCTCCCCATGCCCGTCCATGCAGGTCTCCTCCGGGGCTCTGGCGGCGGCGTGGGGGCCCGGGAGCCGGGGCTGCTGCATGGACACGCGATCGGGCCTCGCTTCCTTTTCTTCCTCCTTCAGTCCCGCGACGGCGAGAGGCGGCCGCCGCCCCCGCAGCAGCAGCAGCAGGGAACACCGCGCCGGAGGAGGAGGAGGAGGAGGAGAACGGCCCCCGGCAGCATCGCAAAAGGAGGAGAAAAGAACACAAAGAAGGTCAGTGAGTCTCGCCGCCTGCCTCCCCACTTCCTAAAGCCGCTAGCGCGCGGGCTCCGGCGAGGCCGGGATAGGGGCTGCGTGCGCCGCGCGGGTCCGGGGGGCGAGTGTGCGCGCGGGGCCCGGCCTCGCTCGGGTGTCTCCGCACGCCCCTCCCCCGCCCCATCAATCAATCTCAGCGCCGCACTCCCCTCCCACGTCGGGCGCGCCCGCAGCCAATCCGCGCCCTCCTCCTACCTCAGCGGCGTCCCAGGGGCCGCGAGCGCCAGCAGACCCAGACAGAGCCGACACTTCTCAGGGCCTCCGGGGCCCGCCTTCCCCGCCCAGGGCGGTGGGAGCTCGGCTGCCCCGGGGTGTCGGAGACGAGGCGACTGGCCATCACCCTTGCCCAGCCCGCCTCCTCTCTTTACAGTTTTGGTGTTTGCTCTTTTAATGTAGCCTAATATAAACAGACGGGCGGGGGGGGGGTCCCTCCTTTTGGGTTACTTTAAGAGGGCCCCACTCGGCCTCCCAAGTTTGGCTCGCTTGTTTTCTATCGCGTGCTCCCCGCCCCCGCCGGCCACGCCCTACCTCCCTCCTTGCTCCTACGGAGCGGCGTTTTCGGATCACGTGTGCGGGGCTTCACCTTCGCAGCCAATCACCTCCCCGGACACCGCATTCCGACTCAGATCTCGAGAGTGCAACATCGCAGGGAAGAAATCGGGCTTTTCGGAGTCGGAATGTGGCTGGCGGGTCGGGGCCGCTGATTGGCTGGCAGAGGCCTCCGTGGGCTCGCCTTGGAATTCACTGGCCGCTTTCGCGGGGCCGGGATCGCCCAGTGGCGCTCCTGCAGCGCTGGAGAAAGCTTTCTTTCCTTCGACTTCACCATCAAAGTCAGGGCTTAGTGGCCAGTTAGTGACTGTCAGCTAAGAGCTGGTTAGTTTGGGCCCGTGGGTTAGTGTCTACTTAGTTCACCCACAGCGGGCAAACTTTAACATGCCCGATTAGAGGATAATTTAGATTAATGAGAAGTTAATGCTCAGCCTCAGATGCTTAACTAATTGTGAAATCGTGGATAGGGCAAGTCACAACTTCTCATAGCCTCAGTTTCTTCATCTGAAAAAAGGTAACTACTTGCCCTACCTGCCTCACAGGTTTAGGCTTAGGAAAGCACTTCGCTTAAAATGCTATATAAATGTGTTAATGTTGTTGTATGCCTGAGCCTAGGTAAGGTATCCCAGGCCCTAGCAACCAACTCATGAACTAAATCTCTTATTTTTTCCAGAATTGGAAACAAGGAAAAGGCCAATTTGTCTGTAAGGAGACTGAGACGGAAAAGGGTGAAAGCCAGAATCCTGTAGTCAGATAGAATCATTATGATTATCAGTAGCTGTGGACTGCCACCTAACCTACTTGAAACCACTTTGCCTATCTCTCCTAGAAAACATATTATCGTCCTTAACCTAATCAAGTCATGACTGATGTTTTTTTTTGTCCATAGGTCCCATATCACAACTTTGACACTATTTGGAAACAATCAGGCATGGACACATTAACCCTTCCCCCTCTCCCCCCTTTTTAAACAGTGTGCTATTCAAATAAGTTTGGATAGTGGGGACTTGCAGCATCCTCCCTCAATTTGACAATTTACTTCTTACAGACTCTGCTGTAGCCAAGACTGGGGCCTTTATGCAGGATTGCCTCCGCTATTCAGCCATACGTTTTAATTGCATAATTACTACACGTGATGGGGTGACTCAAGTAGTAAACATAACTTTCACTGCCTAAGATATAATTCAAGCTTTGACTATGTTATAACATAATAATAGCTTTACTACGACCTGGAGAAATGATTTTTCGTAGGGAATCAGATGTGAAATTAGCATACTTCAAGATTTTGCTACATACCAAAGTTTTATTGTGTTGGCACAACTATTTTGTAGGATATAAGTAATTATAATATAGATTATGTAAATCAAAATTGTAGCAATGGAAGTTTTTTTTTCCTTAAAAAAATAAACAGGTGCAATTAAATATTCCAAAATAGTGTAATAAAACTGACACAATTTATAAAATTTGCTTTTCTGGTCCTCCTTTAATCCAGAAACTTGTGTTTTAGGAACCAATTGAAAGAAGCATCATAAATTCTTTGTAACTCAGCATATAACAAATATTCAAAATTTAAAAAAATAATTTAGGTCTGTTTGTTTTTTTCCTGACTCTCTGAGGTTTTCATAGCTTCATTACTATGATGACAGGTACTCTGGAGTTTGCCAACAATAGAGGGCGCTCTTTGCAAACTCTAGGGTCACTAAATGACACTTAACAGGAAAAATTTCATCTCTCTAAGGTGCTTTATTGTTCCTCTGTTGTAAAATTTGACAAGCTCAAGATTTATGTGTGTAACAATTCACTTTTTATTGCTGTATAAGTGTATAGTTGGCTAGAGGGAAATGCTAATTTTTACAATTAAGGAGGTTCCCATTTTCAAGTGTCAAGGCATTAGGTGAGGTGAGGGACTGGAATAGTAAATTAGAATTGATATCAATAATTTGTATCAGGTTTTAAACCCAAGAGCATTGTAGATGGACTTCAAAGGGCACACAGTGTTTTTACTTAAAAAAATGAGATGAGGTCCCCAGCATTAACTTTGGGAAAAACAGAATCGAATGGCTATTCCATCACTGATAGATAATGACTTTACATTTCAAACTAACAATATGCTGAAATCAATGATTTTTACAAGTCAGGAATCCATCCAACTATTTAGTTCCTCCTCCCCTCCTTCCTTCTCCTTCCCTCATTCCCATTTCTCTTTTAGTCCAGTAAAGAGGAAACAAGGTAGCAGGCTATTCAGGGACCCAGCAAAACATAAATTTAATGTGTAACTGGGTAGAATTCAAACACATGCAAGAAGCATTAATGGATTTTAAACAAAATGTGGTTTGCTTTTCCTGAAGGCATTCATGATGGCTTAACTGTTCCCCTGTTAATATAATATCCATTTTCAGAAATCCAACACAGGTCTCAAGGTCTGTCTGCTTAATACAATGCATTAAGGAAGAGCAACTGGGTATCAGATCTGAGGTTTCAATTTTTAAAACACAGTATATGTGATATGTTTCCCACTCCCCTCTGCCCCCCCCCACCTTGTTATCTACCATTTTGAGGCCAGGAGGTCAAGGAACTAAAATAAAATAAGTTCTAAAAGAATACAAGCTCTCCAACTGTTTGTACTTACATCATCTTTAACCCTTATGGTCCTGTATGGTGACTGGAGGGCCAAACGGGCATCGAAAGTCCTTGAAAAGCTTGGACCCTGGCACTTACTTTTTGAACCTATGTATTAGATAATAGATACAACAGTTAGTACCCTGTCCAGAATTGTAAGGGTGAAGATTCATTAATTGTACCTACAAAAATTGGTTGACAGGATCCTCACATCTTTACAACCACTCACTGAGCTTGAAAGTAGCAGGTGCAAAAAGCATTTGGGAGCCGATTGCCAGAGCCAGGGAGGTAATGTGCTTCCTGGCCATTTATCTCAGGAAACCAGCACAGTCTTCCCTCGGAAACAAAATTAACCTCTCATTAGCCAGGCACTCACTCCCAAGAAAGCCTTAAAAGCTTTACCATCTCACTAATGTATTTAGGATTTTCTTCCAGGCAATTATTACCATCAGTTACACTTTGTGATACTGAGCCCAGGACCCGCTTACATTTCATCAGACTCTGAAACCACCTGCCGCAAAGATGAGGGTAACAAATACTTTCTGTGGGATTCTTCTGGGGGTCTGTTAGGCACAAAACCGGTTTATCCTCGAGAATGATAAATACTGCTAAGTCAGTATAACTCTTTGTAAGAATTATAAGGAAAGTCACTCGCATACAAAGAAAGCATGCACTAACTTCATCTATTTTTCTGGGATTCCCACAGGACAAGTTTTCCATCAACTCCACCTATATGCCACACACATCTACTAATCTTACAGGAACCCTTTTTCTGGAAATAACGGAAAAGGCAGAGGCCAATTTTGTGACCCGGGAAAAACTGCTGTTGCTAGCTGAACACTGGAAACCTACTGCCTGAACATCCTGTTTTACAACTAGTGTGTTTTGTGAAGGGTTGTGTATCTGCTGTATATGTATCAGCCGCCCACTGTTATGCATCAAATTGGCTCAACTATGCAAAGGGCGTAAAGGGACAATTTTTGTAGATGGGGAGCAGTTTTTAGCACAGTCCTTTCTCTTAGCGGCTTCCTTGAGGGCTGAGAGATTTATACTACTTCGGTGGATGGAGACCCAAGCAATGCAGTTCAGTTCCCAACTCCCTCTTCCCCCTACCTCTCCTCCACACCCCTTCATTCTCTGTCTCTACCCCCACCCCAACCCCACCGCAAACTCTTAGCAAAATAAACAACTCACCACAGGCATTCCCTTGTCTTCATGGTGACGTTTGCCAGCTGGGAAAATAAGCCACAAGCCATGCAGCCTTGGTGCAGGAGGAACGGAGCGCGGTCCGGGCGCCCCTTTCCCCCAGGTATGGTAAGAAGGTCTGTAACACCTCCACCCAGGCGGGGCTTGCCCTTCTCAGTGTCGGCTCGCCGGTCTCCCGATGGCTGGCACAGCAGCCAAGGGAGGTGATGTGTTTTTAATGCCAGTGTGATCTCTCCTCCACCTATGTAAAGGAGAGGAGGGAATTCTTTAATTCCCTTCTCCGTTCTCAGAAACTATCCCCCTTCTTCGTTCCCCTCCCCTCCCCCTACCAAAGAAGGGTTGAAGGAGTGCGCTGATTCGTCTTCTGTCGCATCTCTGAAATCCACAAGGCCCCCTACAGGAGCTTTCAGCAGCTACTGTAACCGCTGGAATGTACCTGCACATCTGGCGGAATCAGCTGAGCATGGCAACCCTGGCCTTTCAGTTCCACCTCTCCTTTTCTCTGCCCAACTCCCTTCCTCCTTTTCCAGAATGCTTGCACAAAGGGTGTCTTTCACCGCCCTAACATTCAGTGCCTCCCAGTCTGCCGCCTAGCCTTTTCCCACCCGCAGCACTTGTTCACAACATAATGCTGTTTCAGCCTTTGCCTGGACCGAGCAGTGACCAACGCGTGCTACAGCATTAAAGTATTTAAACAGTCAACAAACGCTCCGCCCCACTTCTTGGCGTGTCCAGAAGCCTTAGAGATCACAATGGCCTGGTCCAGGCTAGCCCTCCGGCATTTTCCTTCCAGTTGTTTCCTACCTAGGAGTCACATTCTGTATTTGTTTCCTTAACTTAGCCACTTGACAGACGTTTAACACTTTCCATCATTTCATTGTTTATAAATTTTGAAGTGTGGAAGGTTGTTGTGTGTCCATGAATTACTTGTCTGTGAAATGAAGAGGCTGAATGAAGTTCATTTGTAAGATCCCTTCCAGTCTCAACATTCGATGATACACAAACACACACACACACCGATTTAACGCTTTACATTTTAGATTGAAAACGAGATGGGATTTGCTCAACTTTCTTTTTTTTTTTTGTATCATGGACCCTTTGGCTATATGGACAAACCTATGAACTTCTCAGAATAATGTTTGTAAATGCATAAAAAGAAATACATTGGATTACAAATATAATTCTTCTTCATCCAAGTCCATGTGTACCTTAAAATCTATTCACAGATCATAGTTCAAAGGTTAGGAATCCCAGTCTATGGGAATTAATCGCGAGACTACTAAACAGTCAACTGGGCTTCTTTTTCTCCTGTTTAAGGGACCACGGGAAAGGGAACAGTAGGCTGCAAGTTTAACTAAGAGTGAGAAATTGTAATTTGAAAAAAGAAAAACCAAACAAACAGAATTCTCAGAAAAAGGAACTTTCCATTAAAGTGACAATGTTTGGGACGCAGAGGGGAGTGGGAGGTGTTGTCCACATAAAGACAAAGATTGCAGTTTCTTTCTTCACTGTGTTATACTGCCAATGTTGAGATTTGTAGGGCAAAAATTCAAGTGAAGAACTTGATCTATCTAATCTATTTATATTATACAGCCAGTTGTCACTATTAGCCCATTGAGTTCATTACTTTAGACTCCAGTTTATTTGGGCTCTTGCTTTTATCCCTTTACTATAGGACCACTTTTTCTCCTCTCTCTTTCTTAAAATAATAATCATTACTCATTTATATGGTGCTTTAAGGCTTGTAAAATGCTTTCCTTATGTTTCCTTTCTGTGACTGTCACTTTCTCGGTCTCTGCCTATCTCTGTCTTTTTCTGTCTATGTATGCCTTTCAGTCTCCACCTCTCTATATTCTCTGTCTCTGTCTTTCTGTCTCTCCTCTCTTGCCTCACCCCTACCCTTCTTTCTGTCTCTCTATGTCTCTACATCCCTCTGTCTCTGTCTCAGTCTGTCTCAGTCTCAGTCTATCTCTCTTTGTCTCTCTTGGTCTGTCTGTCTTTGTGTCTCTGTGTCTCTGTTTTCTCTGTCCATCTCTTTCCCCTTCTCTTTGTCTTTCTGTCTTTGTCTGTCTGCCTTTCTCTGTCTCTCTTCTCTTTCTGTGCTAATCAACTGGAAAGAGAAGAGTTCTGAGGATGTAGATCTCAGAAAGGATAGGGTAACAGTAAGATACAATTGAAAATATGCTCTTGCTGCAGAGCTTTTTGAAAAGCTCAGCTCCTAGCCCACAGGAACATGGGATTTTAATTTGCCCACTTGCTTTACCCTTTGAAAATCCACTACAGCAATCAGCAGAGCAGTAGCTTTGATTAAAAATCCAAAAGGCTAGTCTCCCATGTTTTTCTTCTCCCCACCACCAACACAAAGAAAAGAAGGTGCGTAAAATAATGATATGCAAGAGTTCAAAGCCATCCCAGAAAGCTGGTCTGAGAAGATACTTTCTAATGGAGGTTCAGTTCTTCACCATTCCCCTGCTTTGTTGAATTTTTGCCATCATCATCGTCATCATCATCATCATCATCACTCACACAATGCATACAAAGAAGCAGAATTTTTTTCCAGTTCTATAAATGTTGGTCAGTGGGTCTCAGATGCTAGCTTATTCATACTCAAATAAATGTGTTAAATAATCACATTTAAATTTTATTTAGCCTCATTATACTCTAGCAAAGACCTTATGTTAGCATTCCCACTCCTTCTTTTGAGTGAGTTTTATTCTGGGTGTGCTCCCATACCCAGAAAATAACAGGCAATTCAAAATGAAATATTAATTATTTTCTTAGGGAAAAAAGATCTCTTTTCTCTTTTTTCTCTTCTACTTCCAGGATATTTAAATTATAAAACATAAAATAACACTAGCTTTTCAAGTTAATTTTGAATTTTTTCATGAAAAAGAGTTTCACAAGTGCTTGACTTTCATATCAATGTTGACTTATTTTATTGATTGTTATGAAGAAATTATTTTTTTCTTTATAATATCACTCACCTTACTTTTTGAAAATACTGTAAACCTCTGTGATTTTATGTTGTTTTCCAATTTATTTGAAGCTCCAAACATCCCTGTGAAAGGACTAATTACCAAGGGTAACCCCCACATCCTCAAGGCATAGGTTTGTCACTGGTTGTCAAAGTTGTCTTTGGTACTTGATGGGCCCTTACCCTCAGGGATTGCTGCTTTCCTGGTCACCTAAGGGCATTAAAAGGTCCCACTCGTTTCTCAGCCCCAGGACCAAACCTTGCCCTAGTGACCTGATGAATTTCAGTATTATATGAACCACGGGGACCCAGTCTATAGAAGCTAAATGTATTCTTATTATTGTTTAGGCTAAGTAAATCTCCTATTGTGAACTCCTGAGTGCCTCATTTTGCAGTTTGTATCAACATCTAACCTAAACTAACAGAATCAGAAATTAGCCCTACTCCTAACAACCTTTTTATGTTACCCCAATCCAATGCATATATTTTGAAAATACTGAGATTTCTAAACATTGAAAGTTCTATTTTAAAGGAAACTTAACCAAGAACTAGTATCATTTACAATAATTATTTAAAAAAAAAAACCCCACCACAATCCTACCTATCCAATAAGTGGTAAAATGAGTGCAGCTATCCCCAAGATTTTTCCTTAGGGCATGCTAAACTTGGATTCCAAGCAATCACATAGAAGATAAGGGTAGCCCTGTTTCAAGGTATATGTTATAGAAACCAACCCAGCCTCCAAACTCTATCCCTAACCCTTACCCTACATGAGCTTCCAAGGATGAGATTTCACTGGCTGATTCATGTCAATTAATGATTTAGGGTTGCTTACAAAAAGTCTTTTAATTCACTACTGAGCCAGAATTCCGGATAACTAAAAGGGTGAACCCTACCACTGAGGCCTCCTTTTTCTGCAGTATTTGAAGTGCCAAGCTATGCAAGGGCTTGGTCAGGGTAGAAAAACTCCCCTTACCTATCTGCAAGCCATGAGCTCACAACCTCCTAGGCAATTCTGTACCTGGGTTGGGGCCACCTTTCATTTGTGTCTTCTTCCTTTGGTACAGGACCTTGTGAGATCCTTCCCAGGCACCTGAACAGATGTGAAAAATACAAAATGGCCATTGACCCTCAAAAAGAAACCTCTTGCAAATGTTTCAATGAAGTTTAAATGTTACTCTCTCAGCTTTAGTCATATGCTAGTAGTGGAGTAGATGGTAGTAGTAGATAAGTACCTGGATTCTGTTCTAATCATTATGTGTTCTCTGATTAATTTATATACCCAAGGCACTTTTAACACTTTTCCACTCTAGCTGATTTAAACTTGAGCCAACAATAGAATTGCCCCAGGAGTGAGCAGGGTCTGGGCCTGAACCAATAACTGAAAGTGGGAAGCTTTTTGAGGGGTCAGAATCTATCAGCTGAACCTGGGTAAACCTAAAGTGACACCCATACCCAGACACAGACACAGACACACACACATACACACACATACACTGTTCTCAGCTAATCACGTTTGGCTGGTTACTATGCCAGACAAGGGTGTCCATTGTCATCACTGTTATTTATTCTAGAAATACCAGCCATAACAATAAAACAAATTCTAGAAATACCAACTATAGCAATAAAATGAGGAAGAAATTGAGGAAATAAGCATAGGCAAAGAAAAAATAAAATTCTCACTTTTTGCAGATAATATTTGCTTATAGAACCCTGGAAGTTCAACTCAAAATGAAAAGAAACAGTCTATGTCATTAAAGTAGCAGGATAGAAAATAAACCCACAAATATAGTAAACCTTTATGTGTACTGCTAGTAAAACACAGAAGAAAGAGAAGCAGTAAGAAAAAAAATTCTATTCAAAATTACCACAGAATGTATGAAATATCTGGGAGCCTACTTAGCAAGACATGCGGAGGAATTATATGACTATCACTATAAAACAGTCTTCACATAAATAAAGAAAGACAAATAATTAGAGAGGAATTAATTGTTCATGGTTTGGCCAAACTAATGTAATAAGATGATAATAGTGCTATACCAATCAAAGTACCAAAGAATTGCCTTATAGAATTAGACAAAATAATACCAAAATTCAT